TTCAGAAAAAGAAGGTAAATAGGCTTAGGATACTACTATTTGTCATCTCCTGATGAAGTTCTCAGTTCAGTGTTATGAAAGCTCAATCCTTGCTGCAGCATCTCTTACCTTTGTCGTGTGAGAATCAAGATCTGCTCTCAACTGCGTGGCTTTTAGCTAAGCAGCTGTTTTATATTGTGGAGAGATGTATGTGCTCCCACTCACAGCACATGATGATATGTCTGCTGTTTGCATCATAAGGAAGCTGCATCCAGCTCGGAGAAAGATTTATTCTTCGTATGCGTAAATAATTTCATACCATCCTCGAGTGATGGGTTTTGTTCTGCTATGCATAAAGTTCTTTGGTTTGATGTTTTTTAACCTGAGTTTAGAAGTGAGTTCACTGCTTTTGGTCATGCTTGCTTTCAAGCCCGAAGACTTTTTCACTAAAACTAAAAATTAATTGCAATGCAGGCATGTGGGATGTCAAGGAATCCTAGGCTTGGGCTACTGGACACTTTGACCCATCATTACCAGTGTAAAATATTATCAATTTTCTATGAAAACTTCCTATACAATCATGGATTTTTTTTTGAGGAATGGCCTGAGAGAAAGGTTAATAGTGTTTATTTCCTTAATGTTGTGACATATTATTTAACAATTCCTTCACTCATCACTTTAATGGTAATGAGATCTTCTTCCTGAAAATATGGTTTCAAGTACTGACTTGAAATGTGTTTGGGAAATGTGATCAAGGATTTCTGAAAACAGATCTCTCTGGGTTCCTCAGACTCACTGTTTTGTTCTGAAGACTCCAGCTTACCTGTCCAGGCTGTCTGCAGCTTCAGCTCCTTACCTGATTCTCACAGTATTTGGGATAGGTGATTATTACAGCAGAAAGACAAAAATACTCACTCCAGGTCCACAGAAGAGAATGGTGATACAATTTATCACAGAATCAGTATTTTCTGAGTCTTAGCTCTGTACTCATTACCCATTTGTGTAATGAAGAAAATACCTGCATCATAACTAACATGTCCTTATTTCTAYTAAGTAAATTATTTCAGTGTGAAAGTGTGATTTTCACATAACCCTGTATGAAGCAGTGGTAATGTGCAGGCAGTTCCAAAAATACCCATGTYATTTCTCACCTTTAAAATCTCAGTGAAATCTGCACAGAGTTGCTGCAGAAAGCATGGCCTGAGGGACACATGTGGTATGCAGAGGTCCAAAAGACAAGCCTGCAGTTGGCCTCCAGCAAACACCCTCTTATTCCCTGAGAAGAGATGAATGACCCTTGAATTTGAGATAAGAACCTTCCCCGGGGCTCCAAGGCTGAATAAAATGTATTTTTAGAAAGCCATCAGATGTCTGCCATTGAAGGCTGGAGACTCCCACGAGGAGGACACCAGCTGGCACAGCAGCAGAACCCTTTATAAGTCATCACAGTGACCTCAGCAAGGATATGTGTGTGCTGGTTGCTCCTCAGCTCTGTGGCGAGGGACAGCGATGTCACCATATTCAAATGGGCAAAGAGCAGACAGAGCATTTAATGTTCCCGCAGAGCAAAATTGCTCACTGGTTACAGCATTACCTAGCAATGTTCATACAAGTGTGCTAAACCTAAAAACATTGATTTTAGCCCATGGAATACATAATTTTCTTGATGTTTCATTTTTAGAGTATTAGTTTCTCCTTGATTTTGTGTATTTATTKATATTTATGTTGCGGTGGATAATTATTTTGGAGACGTTATGTAGGAGCACTTTGTCTTGCAAGCACAGAGCCAGTCCTCCATAAAAAGGAAGTTCCGTCACATTCTTTGTGTGAGTAGTACACCATGATCTCTATAACTTGTGTGTAAATGGGGCTGACTGTGACATTGCTTTAGGATTAATACCTCCCACATGAAAAATGCATGTTTTTACAAAACCTCAAAAGCCAGGTTCATATACTTCCACTTTTAATTCCATTCCAAACCCTGACAACCACCAGCAAATCTACTGGCCTTTACCATGACAATGCAGGATGGATTATCAAGAAGGAACTTTCATCATGATTCACTCAGTACAGAAGTGATTAGAATTGACTGGCTCTAATCTTAACACATCCATTCACTTATCTGATTTCCTCATAATTTTWCTTGAAGTATTTGCCACTGAGAGATGTCACGAGCTTTTGTACCTGTCAGTCATTTAAGGTTTAGGTGGGGTGCTGCATACCTGCTAAAAATGAAGGTGTCAATTGGACTCACCATCCACAATCAAGGCTTGTTAATCCCATGTGGTTTATGAGGATCACAGTGATCTCAGGAACATCCCTGGAGACCTGCTCTGCAACATGACYTGGTCAGTAATGGGAGGTGTCTGCTTTGCAATGGCCCCAGAAGCTGGTTTATTCTGATGTTACATGAAAAGCTTTCGAGAAGAAGTCACAAACATATGTACGTAGGTAGCTATTGTTTTGTCTATATAATATACATTAAATAACATGCTCCACAATATGCATTTATGCTGGTTTTATACACAGGTCAATATAAGGGCAATGAAGCTGGTCAAGGGTTTAGAAAACATATCCTATGATGGGCAGTTGAGGGAGTTTAGCTTTTATTCTGCTAAATTAAATATGGGAAAAGAAGAAACATGGAGACAAAGAAATTAAGCACAATATTTTGAAGGAAAAGAGAAATATATGCAGAGGTTGGCAGGACTCCCCAGGAAAAAAAAAAAAAAAAAGTATTAAAAGAGAAATTCAAGGAAAATAACTGTGAAGAACACAAAAAACATAGCACAGCAGGACATCTTTCATGGATGTTCTCAGGGAAAAATGGTTGTGGCTTATTATGAGGCTTTTATGCTCAAGGCAGTTGMTAGAAAGCTGCTGTTTTAAATCTTGAGATGTCTCAGCTATTTCCCTCCACCACTATTATCCTTACCAGYGTCAGACCCCTGAATGTGGTGGTTTTGCAGCTACAAGGGGGAGGGGAGGGCATCTGGACCTCACCAGTCATCACACCGAAAAGCTACTGGTGGTATTTTGCAAATCTGCACTCCAACCCTGGGATCTGGCTTCATTTTATTGAAACATGGGATAATACATGGCCCCAGACAGGGTACAAAATAGCAATTCACTTCCAGCTCCTCTATGGAGGTTGTAGCACTAATGAAGCAAATCACATCTCAGGGAATATAGCCATGATTTAGKACGTGTATAACTGTAGCAAAACATTGTTATGGCTGAGATTTTAATGTTTTWAATGGAAAAAATAAAAAGAATTAGGATTGAAATTGAAAAACAACCCAGTTCCCATAAAAGGTAGAAATGTGCTTGGATAAAAGGTTAATAGAGTTAATTGTGGGGAGTAATACCAGACAGCAACTCATGCTAGAGAAGATAATTGTGATTCTGATAMAGGGGAATTGTAATTAAATAGAGGTTGGATAAACACGATTATCCTGGAAAGATTTCCCAGCACAGCACCGGGAGGTTTTAAGATATGGAGGCAGACGCCTGTACGTGATCTGGAAGTAGAGACACCACTGCTGCCAGCCTTGCTCTGGTCAKGAGCACCAACAAAAGGCAATAAATTGAGTTCATTTTGAAGTTTAATTCACCTGCAACTCTAAGTGGCAAGTGATCTTCCTGTCTCCATCACAACCCCCAAGATTTCTCTTTTCTGCTGGTTCCCGTTTCCACTCTTTTCCTGCTGTGGGGGGAACTCTGGGTGCTGGCCAAGGCTGGCCTGCCACAGGATAGCTGTGGGCTGGAGCAASTAAGGACATCCCCCATTATTATGCTTTTTCCATAACTGATAAWATTTTTTTAATGTGGATATTAAAATGAAATGCAGTAGTTTGTTACTGAACACTGAGATGTAAACAAAGGCTTTCCACACTGATCTGTTTTACTGAAAGGGGTATTTGTGCTTAATATTTTTATTTGCTGAGTTACAAATGTTCCATAATAACTTATATGAGATGAAGGGAATTGTATGTACTACTTTAAGACAATCACAAGAATTCCAAAAAAGCATTTTTTAAAAATTTTATTTCTTTTGTTTCCTTTYAATGGCAAAATCTTTCTGCTACATTTTGAACTTTTAACTATATCTCACTAAAAATAGAAATTTACTGGATTTGAATACAGGATGGTATTCACATTTTTCTACAATTCCTATAGATTATTTTACATAACACATACAGAATAAAAAACCCTGAGAACCTACTAAGAAAAACYATAAAATTCTTCTGCTGTTYAATTATTTATAGTACTGTTTGGAATCACTATATGTCATAAMGATATACATTCCCAGATGCCTAAAGAAAATTTCTACTGGAGTTCTRTTATTCCCTATTCGGAGCAAGTCCCTCTCTAGGGACTATGCCTTTTATCCCCTCTCAAAAAAAGAGGAAGAAGATCTTTTTGTTTTCAATTCTTTTTCCACTGCCAACTGTATTCCGGATCTTCAAGCAGACTTCACAACCCCATATACAGAGCCCAGTTATGAACCCTTATGTCATCACCTTTAAGCTTGCCCCTTCAAACTTTTTTTCCTTTAAATGTGCTCCCCAATCTCTGTGCTTGCTTTATATATTTCCAYCACCTTACAAAATGCTGCAATGAACTCTAAAAGTGGGCTTGGACTCAAAATGTATCCTCACTGTTTTCTGGGCATAATCTGTAACAGGTTAGGTTGCTGACAATATACATATTGGAATAATCCCATAAGTATTAGGATGGACAACAYCATTTGTGACAGTGAATGAGACTGAAAGCAAGTGAATTGAAATTACTTGTGGAAACTCCCAGCACATCTTCTTTGGCTTTTTATCTCTGCAGTTGACATGTGATACAGTAATTGTCTTACTCACATTCCTGTCTTCTCTGCTTGTTGAGTTTGTTGAAGTTTCTTGTATCAGACACACATTTATTTGCAACCATTTCCAAGATGGCGACTATTGCCTAAATCAGTTGCTGAAACTTGAATTCCATGCTGGAAATATTTAGTCATGCACAACTCAGTCATGCACAACTCTACTTTCCCTTCCCAGTATAAAACTACATTTTCTTCTGTTTACTGAAGTTTAGTAAAAGAGTAATTTTTTTTTCTATTATTTTAAAGTTTCCACTGAGTCCATTTCCTGGAGGKATGCTTCTTTTTTGCCAATATACAGCAAGTATACACAGGACCCAGATCGAAACACAGGTCACACAAATGACAGAGTAACATTATTATTCCCACAAAGYAGCTCTAAGGATATTGGCTGCCTATGCTGCATACAGAGGTTTTGGCATCCACAAAAACAAATGCAGAGATGGGAAAGTTGTACACGTACCTAAAACACATTTTGAGTAGTCTGCCACACAGTGTTTCTGAAAAAACAACCTTTCACTGGTGAGTGACATATTTTCATTTCATAAAGGAGAGAGGGGATTTGAGAATATACATTTTTATTAATTCTGCAACAAATCAAAACTGRACTCTGGAAAATGTTTTTAATTTCCATGAAAATGTCATTTCTTTGGCTCTGACTTGCTGGCAGTGATTTTTTTCCCAATGCTTTAGTAACAATAACATGGCATTTTTACAACAGAGAGTAACTGGCACATGCTGTAATTTTGTGTTTTCCCAAGAGAAAAAGAAGAAAGAGCTTTAAAATGGTAACAGTGAAATGGTTACTGCTCATGTTTATTGACAACAGGGGTGTTTTTAAAATGTTATGTTTAAACTCAGTGAATGCAGCTGTTGCCCTTGAGTGCAAACTACCACCAGGAAAATTGGTACTGCAGAAGAGATCAATGTTCTCTATTCCAGGTATCTCGCTCAACTAATCTTCACCTAATTTTGATTAAGGTGTCTTCATATATATATATTTACATTGAACAGAAGTTAAGAAAATTTATTAGCACGGGTGACAGCTCGGTCCATAAGGACCAACAGAACTTCAGCCTCAGAAGGAATACAGAAAGAAGTAATTAGTTCCCATAAGACTTCTGTTAGCAAAAAAATGTTTAACTTTTTTTTCTGCAGACAACCTACACCCCTATGAAGCTTTAATACTCCTTAAATTTCATGGGGCCTAAATAATCGTGCTGGTGATAGGTACCCACTAGTACGAAGCTGATAAATCAAGCTATGAGGTTTTTTTTCTTCACTGATGAGCTGTTCCTAGAAGGATTCCAAAAGGCTTTCCTCCAGTGACACTGGAAAGCATTTGAGCCTTTTATTTGTCATTTGTTCAAATTAAGAATACTAATACATCTAAGCTCAGATAAAGGTGGATTTCTTCTGCTATTTTTTGTCTTCATTTTATTAAGCATATTCTCATCTCCATTCATGAAATATAGAGAAGCATCCTAGAGTGGTAAATCCACTTAGATAGCAAGGTGATGCAGGCAGTAAAAGAAAATAATGTGGAGCACTTTATGGACAAAAGACATGCCCTGATAAACACYACATGTGTGTTTATCACATGTAGATGCAGACAAAATGGCAAAGAGAGAAGTTTAAATGGAATACTGTGGTTTTGAAATAATTTTGAAAGGTGATGATATTCGGAGCTCAACAGTTTTAAAGAGACACCAGTGAAGATCCCAATGACCATTAACTTCATGAATATTTTCTTGTGCATGCCCACCTTTCTCACAACTGCATTTAGCTAGCATTTTGGTGTCAGGGATTGAAAGCAAAGCATGAAGAAGTACAATACTTCCTGGACACTTGGGTTATTCCACAGAAAAGGCAACTTTAAAGGAAATACCAAATATTCTCCTGAAGTTAAAGAACACTCTTAGAAATAAAAAGCCCCTCTATAAATACGGCTTTTTGAAAACAAGAGTAACTAGCACTACATGGTAAAAAAACCACCTGTGCTACACAATTCATCCAGGAGCACAGCCCATGTCACCAGTCAGAAGCATGAGAAAGTCAGGACTTAGTTACAGCTACTGTGGTTTCTCTCTTTTCTCTGTGGGGTGGTATCTTGAGAGAGATGACCAAAAGGAGACTGTGAAGTACTACAGCTATGTTCACAGAATCATTAAGGTTGGAAAAGACCTCCAAGACCATTCAGTCCAACCTTCGAGCAAACACTGTTATGTCAACTAAAMCACACCAAGTGCCAAAATCCAGTCGTTCTTTGAATAMTTCCAGGGATGGTGACTCCACCACCTCCCTGGACAGTCTGTTTTAATGCCTGACCGCACTTTCAGTGAARAAATTTTTCCTGATGCYCAACCCAAATCCCCCCTGACACAGCTTGAGGCCATTTCCTCTTGCCCTGTAGCTGGCTGCCTGGGAGAAAAGGCCAACCCCCCATGAACGGCACGGCAAACACTGGAAAGAGCAGATGGTAGTGATGTTCTGTGTACCTGTAATTTATTTAGAAGACACCAATATTGAAGTCTTTATATTCAGTTGCTTGTCATGGGTGTGTGCCTAAACCACTCCTACCCTCACATGCCTTTGGGCTAGATCTCTTYTGCATCACCAACATTCTTACTTTACGTTCTTATCTACAAAGGCATCCAAAATGAAAACAGTAGAGTTCTGCCTACAGTTAAACTGCTCCCTTCTTTGCAGTAGTAGTGGGAAATCCAAGCCAAGGAAGACAAAAAACTCCCCATCCAAACCTAAAACCTTGGAAAACTCAGGTTTTGGGTGTGCAGAAGTATTATCCAGCATCAAACTGTTTATTAGGAGGAATTATTGTCCTATGTCAATATCTGCCATGATAGCTCTGTCACATTTCATTGGTTTCACTTTAAATCCCGTATCTCTTATTATCCAAAGTCCTTAGTGGAGGCCCTGAGAGCCTATTTCTTGTAACAYAGCCCTGAAGTTGTGAGACACAATTGGCAACACCACACAATTCACATGTAAACYGGCTACCCCAACACAATCCAGTGCTCAGTGAGATAAGGTGGCAGCTTTGATCATTGGCTATCTGTTGTCCTCTATAACAATGGTTCTTCGTGGATARGTCTCAACGTCCACAAATATGTAGCGGACCTCAAATCTTCCTGTTTCAGGATTCTGAAAAGAAAACAATTTCAGAGTGTTTTTTTCTTTTTGGTAGTTTAAATTCAAGGCTAAGCTTGTCAGCTGTATCAAGCAATTGCACATACCTCTTTGACTTCCACATGGACTGTTCCCTGTTTCCCTGTTTCAGTGCCCTCAATATAGAACTTCAAACGCATATATTTCAGTCCGTCCTTCACGTATTCAATGTGACTAAAAACAGCAAAACAAAACAAAAACCCAACCACCCAGCAAGGATACAGATTATATGATAGTTAAGACTTCAAATTTAAACTTACTTAGAGGAGTTGCTTACTTATTTTGTAAGAAAGTGTATTCCGGTGCTGTCCTTATGCTACCTTGGGTTCGTTCTCTACTGCTCCTCTCAAGCTTTACTGTGAGTGCCTAAGGACTAGTGGAGTTAGAAGAGCTAATTAGGTGCTGAGGATTAAGAGATGAAATGCTTAAATGTCCTCACCCCAGTCCTCCCCTCAAAACTGAAAAGCAATCCATGCCAAAGACTATGGAAATTCCTTTTATTTATTCTAAAAAAAAMCCCTGATTCGGAGCCTGACATCTAGAAAAGGATCCCACATCACCAAGACTTTYAGAGTTTTTTTAGGCACTTAAACTAAGTTATCAAGCCAAAACACACAAAGCATGTTTTTTYACCTTAATTATCAGGTTGGTTAAACCACAACAAAACAAACAGTTTTGTGCTTTACATACTTGGCAATAATTTTGTTGTGCTGAATTGCGTGACTTTGGCACTGATAGGAGATCTCCAATCTAAATGCTGATATTTAGATTGGAGTTGGGTTATGCTCAAGTATTAAATAAATAGCACACCACTTTCAAATGATCAATTTGGGAAACTAATGGTCCAACAAGAGTTCTGGTGCCAGTTTATGTTTCCTGTTGAAATTACTAAGTGCTGTGAACTGCCAAGCTTTTATTTCCATCAGTCATACCAGGTACACACTGTGAAATAATCTTCCAATACAGCTTAAAGTGACATGATGACTTAGAGGAAACAAATATGAATGAAGAGTCCTGGTGAAGCAAATTTACATTCAAGGTGTTCATACAGGAAAAAAACCCTGTAGATTTTTGAGAMTTTTAAGATCATACCTATGCCGCAATTGCAAACTCTACAATCTTATACAGTTCTCAGCTCAAAAATTTATTTAAAATACTAGGCATTCAAATGATGGAAATGAAAAACTAGGAAAACTGATTGATAGAATRTTTACTTATTTACATCGTTTGCTTTACAGATAGGTGCTTAGAATGTTTGTGCGTCACCATTTCATTCAGAAGTTTCACTTTAAACAGTTCTTCATGAAGTCTGGTGAAGGAATAAAGCTTCATCCAGAAAAAGTCCTTTTGTCCAGACAAAATAAAATCTCAATTTCATGGTTCAAGTTGTGTATCTGGACTTTGGTGTCTCATCCTACACGAAACTTCATTGAATATATTCCAGTCAAAGAAGCCAATAAAGATAGGCAAAGCAGGGCAGATTTAAGTTTTGAAAAAATAGTTCTGTTGTTTTTCTCAAAAGGAAAATAATCAATAGACAGTCATGGRAGGCTTAGGTGATAGATGTTCTGTTAAATACATAGTAGAGATATGGCCTCAAGTACCAAAAACGATTCTGTGTATCAGCTCAGAACAGTTTCTGACTGCAAACTTCAATCAGAATCCTACTCCCACTATGCGAGCCTAGGCCTCCGTACCACTTTCTTCAGACTCATTCTATATTTTGGAGAGACCAGCTCAATGCTTACCATTGCCTGTTTTGAGGCACTCAGAATTGCCATTTTATATTGTATGTACACTGTACTTAGTGGTATATATCACATGATAACACACAAGAGGTACTGCAAAAGACTCTTATGTTCAATCAAGTGACAGGATACATCACATATAGTTCATCACACATAGTTCATCACACATAGTTCATCACACATAGTTCATAACGTGGCACAAAAATACCTTGTGACACAAAAATATCTTTGCTGTACAAAAACTAATGCCTTTATGGGGCAAGCACTAAGGGGTACCTGACATGTTGTCGTCTTCCTCTTCTTGTTGCCTCTCCATAACCTTTGATAGAGTCACCAAAAACACCAATTATCTACAAGAGAAAAGAGGTTTGAGTTGTCAGAAGGGATCAAAACCAGATATTTCAGTATCATCACACACCTCTGTGAATGCATCTTCTTTTAGCAAARTGCCCCTAGAGAATCTAATGTGTCAAGAGTAGAAGAGTTTATGAAAGAGAACAGTTTAAGGAAAATTCCTCTGTATTCCCGTCCTTTTCTTTATAGTCCCAGAAAGAATGTCTAAAATAAATCCTACYGTTATCTTCCATTTGTACTGCTCTGAGATCAATATGTGTAAACTGACATTTTGGGTAAAAGGGAAAAAAAGCACAAAATATTTGCTCATGTCACCTCCAAGATAATATGTCTCAAAGTTTAAAATGCAAATGCATTCCCCTTCACATTATCTAAAAAAACACCATTGAATTCAGTAGTTTTGTTTTCAGATCTATAGTCAGAGTAGATTAACTTAGTCTTTAACTTACTTTAAATAGGTTTTACTGTGCAAGTACTGGAAAGAAGATTTCATTCTACAAACTTGTTCCAAAGCATTTTTCCATTCAGTTTTATTCTAGCAACAACTTGTCACTTCATTTCTAGGTTATCCTCAAAGGCATCTGCAGTAACCTTGTTTGAAAGATGTTTTGTCTGAAGTAGTGTTTTTTAAAATCYAGTTTTACATTGATTTTTGTTTACACCTAGCTATGACTGTGTCATCTTGTGACTGTTCTCTACCTCTCTTCCTGTTTCCCACAGGAATGCTAATTGTGCTTCAAAAGAAGAATTTAAATTCCTGGATATCTATGTAGTGCCTCGCAGATTGATAGAACCGTAGCGAAGTGTCACAACAGAATAACTGTCCTGAGAAAAGASAGTAGGTTACATCTACAGAACTTCTGTGGGATTAGGCCTCTCTGACCTGCACAACTCAAGTGTTTAGAGGCACTCAGGTATGTCCTAAGACCTTCTGTATAGTGACATAAGCACACGCTCTGAAGGGAAGACTTTATTTCCTTCCATCTGTTTTTGTGCTGTGGCATATTCAGTTTGCTTCTAGCAAGCTAATTCACACAGGCTCAATGCTTGCACTGTCTTGCCCTAAYGCAGGCTCTGCTCTGGAGAGCATGACCACCCCATGCCAGCTAAAAGCACTGGCAGAACTGCCAAACACGATGTGGGTGTTCCCATGGCTTCTGAGAGTCCTTCTAGGAACTTTTGACCTGAAGAGATACAGTAACTACTGAGAAACATAAACTGACGACAAAASTTCAAAAACCAACCTCAGGGTGAGATCTGCATTTTTCCAAGGCATCTCCATAGATCTTATTTGGACTAGAAGAAGAGAACAGCTCTTTAAAGATCACATAGAACAAACCACCTGTAACAGAAACAACAGTAAAAGGAATGAAAACTTATCAAACTAGAAGGAATTAATTAAAACTGTATTCTGATAAAGAATCTAATTWAAAAAGTAACCTGTAACACCAATTCCAACAAGCACCACAATGAAATAGGTAAAGTCTCTTCCAGCTTCTTTCACTGAAATAAGACAGAAAATACAGAAGTTACGATCTTGGACAATAAGACTTGTGTGGCTTTCATACATAAACACTCATAGTCTTCAGCTCAAATAACATTTTGGCAGAAGAAAAAATTCCAGTAACAGTTTCCATAATGCCTCATCCCCGTAAAAGAGACCATGGAACATCCCTTATATTGTACAGGGCATGTTTAAATATCTGTGTTAAGCCTTATTATTTTCTCTTTTCCTACTAGATGTTCTCAAGATCCAAAGTAGCAAATACTGCTAYTTTTTGGGTACATGAGATTTTTTAGGAACTAATGAGATATTTAGCACTGCAGTATTCAAGCTACCACCAAAACCCACAATCACTGCAATCCTTACGCAAAGAAAAGGAGAAGTAAAAACAAAGCAGGGAAAGYTTATGAATTGCCCCCACTGAAAAGAACTGATCTTATGAATTATCAATCAAAAGAAAAACAAAAAGGGAGAATATTAGACCAAAATATGTTTTATTAACGTAACTGCTGTTTATCTGATTAGCTTTTATCTACCAATTTTGATCTAAAGTACTAGTAAAAGTGTCAGTATACACTGCAAAATAAATAKGAAATTCTCTGTTTCAAAGCATTTTTGGACTACTTGGAAAGAGACTACTATCTTTTAGTGGTAAAGTGTGCCTTTCAGTGGAGCACACAGACAAAACCTTAGTAACTATTTCTCCTGCAATTTTCTAATCAGTTGAAGGTGATTTCCATAAGCCATTTCAAAGCACTTAGAATTTCTGAGGCTAATTCTATAGTAACCACTTTCACTGAAGTGAATGAGCCCAACCAAAGTGAAGGCAATGCCACAAAGAAACTATCACATGTAGAGCTTTGACAATTTTRTTGGAGATGAATTTATTTCAACAGCCCTCCAGAGAGGCTTCATGTGATAGGCTTTCCTTCTGAAAAGGAAAACAAGAGGCCATTACATCTTGTGACTGATACAACTTGAATCAACAGGCTGTTCAGAAGTCATATAATTTGTTCTGATTGTGTAATGCGTACACAGAAATGTAACAGCTGCTCCAAAGAATACAATGTGAAAAGAAAGAGACTTAGCGTGCTGAGTCTTTTTTTTTTTTTTTTTTTTTTTTTTTTTTTTTTTTTTTTTTTTTTTCTAAATACTTGAGGTTTGGAGCTACAAAACTTCAGCTGCAGAATGAACTGTCGCCAGCCCGGCTGAGTAGCACACATCTCCCGCCTTACCTTTTTGAGCCGCCGACACCAGCGTTTCCTCGTTCAGCGCCCTTTGCACGGACACATCTTTGCTATTATCGCCAGGTTTTTCAGCTCTCAGYCCTCCCGCCTGCGTCCCGATGCTCTGACGGGCGGCCCGGAGCAGCAGCGGGGGCTGGTGCTGCCACCTCAAGCAGGAGCAGGASCCGGTCCCGGTCCCGGTGCTGGTGSCGGTGCCCAGGAGCGCCCAGCCGCGAGTGGCGAGCAGCCAGCGGCCCAGGCAGCCCCGCCCGAGGGAGGCGGGCAGCGCTCCGGCCAGCATCCCGGCCACGGCTCCCTCSCCCTCACAGGGGCACGGCCGAGCCGAACGGAGAGCTTGTGCTGCTCGTCACCGCTCTACCGGGGGACGCTTGGAGAAGTGCCCGGGCAGCCTCCCACCCCCAGCAGCCGCTGCTCCTGTTCAGSAGCCCACCTGACCCTTTACCGCCGCGGACCGCCGCTCGCCGCTGCCCCGGCGGAAATGTTYGGGACGGTGGAGCAGCGAGCGGCGGCAGCGGGCCCTGGGAGCGGTAGTTTGAGCGGGCTCCCTCTCCCGCCCGCCGCCGGGAGCGGCTCCCAGCGCGGTCACTACAGCGCCCGCCATGCCTAGCGCCGCCGCCACCGCCACTGCCACTGCCACTGCCACAGCCCGCCCTCCGCGGGCGGTGACACCCGGCTCGGTTCAGGGGGTGCCGGGGGTCTGCTCGCGGCGCCTGCGGTCCTGGTCACTCTTTTAAAGCTGTAGTTTTATGCATGTTTTTCTTGGTGTTGCACACGTATATGTGTCAAAGCGATGCAGTCGACGTTTCGACGGATGGAGACAGCAAGGGGGACCTGGACAGGGTAAATCGATGGTCCGGGATCGACGGCATGAGGTTCAACCAGGGCAGGTGCCGGGTCCCGCCCACAACAACCCCAGGCAGCGCTGCAGGCTGGGACAGAGTGGCTGGAAAGCTGCTGCTGGAAAAGGAGCTGGGGTTGCTGATTGACAGTGGCTGAATATGAGCCCAGGTGGCCAAGGAGGCTGATGGCTTCCTGGCCTGTATCAAAACGAGTGTAGTTAGCAGGACTAGGGAGGTGATTGTCCCACTGTACTCAGCACTGGTGAGGCTGCACCTTGAGTATTGTACTCARTTTTGAGCCCCTCCATTTAGTAAGGACATTTGAGGTGCTGGAGTGGGTCCAGAGAAGGACAATGGAGCTGGTGTGGAGCACAGTTCTGATGAGGAGTGGCTGAGGGAGCTGGGAATATTTAGCCTTAGAAAGCTCACAGGGACTTTATCACTCTCTACAAGTACGTAAAAGGACGCTATGGCCAGGTGGGGGTCGGCCTCTTCTCCCAATTAATAAGTGATAGGACAAGAGGAAAACCAAGTTGCAGCAGGGGACATTTCGGTTGGACAGAAGGAAGAATGTCTTCGCAGAAAGGRCGATTRGACATTGGAATGGGCTGCCCAGGGAGGTGRTGGAGTCACYGTCCCTGAAGGTTTTCAAGGAAAGACTGGACGTARTAGTGRTCTAATTGACATGGTGGTGTTTGGTAATAGGTTGGGCTGAATGACCTCAGGGATCTTTTCCAACCTCGTTGATTCTAACACCCGAAAACACCACACYCGAGAGCTCCCGCCTGATTTGTGAGGCGCGGGGCGGGGCGCCGCACAGGCTGCCGCGGTTCCCAAGGCGCTAACGCTTCCCGACTGTCCCTCACGGACGGGCTCRGCCCCGCCTTCCCCGACCCAGCTCCCCCGAGCACCGCCTCCCTCGGGCGGGCACCGTCCCACCCTGCCACAGGGCGTACCACGGGAGGTGGCAGCGCCCACTCCTTGATTTCCCTCCCMTCTCCGCCGCGGGCTTGAAGCCTCTGGTCTCCCGAAGCCTAGTGGCCATGGCGACAGGCCGTGGCAGGTAACCGGGGGGCGCGCCGAGCGGGGCTCCGCCGGGCCGGGCTGCCTGCTCGGCCTTCTTCACCTCGGATGGGGAGGGTGGTTTGTTGTTTTCCCTCAACTCCCACTGCTCCTCTGAGAAGCCTCTTCTACCTCCTACAGGACCCTGGTCTCTAGCTCCTTTTCAGGGCGAGGGCTGTGGCCATGCACGCCCTCGTAGCCATGGTTCTCCCCTTTCCCTGCCCCGGCCCTGTGGAGCTGACACCTCGTAAAAGAAGAAACGCAGGTGTTGCCACRTGCACGGACTCTTGGGTTTAACAATTTTTTATTGCCTGGGAAAGGGGGGCTTAACCTTCAGTAAGTCSTTAACCTTGGAGGAGGTACTATAATAAGTATTCCCAAAGTACTGGTTAGTTTAGTGGCTACCTTATCTGTGTTCGGGATAGTTAGGCCTTTGTAATAAATAGGAGGTTTTCACTGTGGAAGGTATGACTACCTTAATTCTTACAGTTCAGGTTTGGCTTCCAAAATTTTAAAGTGTCAATCTTAGAGGCAGTGTTGAGGAAGCAGATTTTTCTGCTCACCCAACAACCTTGGGTTTCATAGCAGTTTCATTCCCTATTTTGYTTTTTTTACCCCTTCTTTTTAACCTGTAAATGGATTGGGGTAATATCCACCTTTTAAAGAGACTGAAATTGTTAGTTGAGGGGAAAAAAGTAATCCCAACTAACCCATGTCAAAATTAYTTGCAGGAATGCTTTAACATTTGGAAGAGATTTTTTTTTTTACTACTTAAAACTTTATATATGTTATTTGAAATGTTACTTATAAGACAATTGTTTGCTGACCATCAGAAAAACAACACACATTGCTAGTCTTGTGGGGTGTGAAAGTGAAAATACTGGTACACAATTGAGCCCCMCATGTTGAAAGGTAATGAAAAAGCAACTGAAGTTGTGCTTCTTAAATAAGAGCATCTCAGTTCTAGAAGTTTCTAAAGAGGGGGTGTAACGGCTGTCATTGACTTTTATCGTAGGCTTATCTGCCCAAGCTTTGTCAATGCAATGTAAAAGCACTTTGTTAATGCTAATTTAAAATCTTGGCACACACAGTACTTGAAAAGTAATTTATGGATTGGGTTTGCTGTTTGTTTCTTCACACCTTGAAAATATTTTTGTTTTGGAAGATGCAAAAGTTCAGGACTTGTTTTTTTAATTGAAGTTTGCAAAAGGAATAGATACTAYATTAACATTTTCAAGGCATGTGTGGGCAGAATTCTTCTTTCCTAAGATATTTCTCCCTGAGGTTAAGAAGAGGGGGGAGTGGTTAAGATGAGCAAGAAGGACTGAATACAGGCAATGCAGGTTATGCTTACCCAAGGTAGTGTGTTTTAAAGTCCAGAATCCAGCTTATGTGATTTATTCCTGTGCCTGGAGTCTGTGGAGTTATGTCCCTGTGGAGTATGTCCTAACTCTCTGCTTTCAGTGCTCTCCTGGAACATACAGAAGTGTGAGCTCTGCTGCTGTTGAGCACAATTTGTGTCTCTAAATCCCATTAATGGCTTTTGAAAAATGCAGTTTGTTGGTTCCTTATAATCTAAGTGTATTCTTGATAATGATACATGAGTAAAACCCTTGTGAGACCTCCAGGTTTTGTTTTTATGTGGCTACTTTATTTGTAGTTGTTAATWTAGTTGGTCTGTCAGTGGTTAGGACCTAACTGACATGCTGAAATGTGCCTGTCTTTTTGTTATGCTTATAACAATTCTCTGTAAAATGTCTTGGATTTTTTTTTTTTTTTTTACATAGTGCAGTTGACAAGATAGACCAGAGTTGTTAATTTCTTTCAATTTTATTTTTCTTTGAGCATAAATCAATCTTAAACCTAGAACAGTGTGCATTAAAGGTACATGGTACCCAAATACTTCAGAATTAGGTGTTTTTCCCCCATATTGATTGGTTGCCTAGAAACCCAGAGCTAGTTTAGCAGGTGTTGGAAAGTCTGCTGGCAATTTAGAATAACAGTAATGCAGTGAATGGGGAACTCTGCTCAGTGGCATTGGTGAGTATGAAGTATAAGGATTTGATTTACGATTTAAACTCTATCTCCATATTTTTACATGGATGAATCACAGTATTTGCAATTACAGCAAAAAACATGGAAAAATGGTTGGATTGTAAGCATTTGTGCTAGAAATGTGCAAAGTTTCTTTCTTTTCTATCCGAATTATGRTGTGCTAATGTTGCCAAAATAGGTTTTTTTCACCGTGGTATGCTAGAGGCCAGTCCACACACAGAGTTGAAGAATTTGGTATATTTACAGTTCTGCACAGAGGGGGTGCTAGGTGGCTAATCCACAAAGCCAACRCACCAACTTTCAAAGCTTTTTACTATTTTATACAATCTAGCAAAGGGAGGAATAGTTTCCATTTGCTACAAGTTGCATGGTTCCCTTAGTAATTAGTRTTCTGTCTTCTGTTAGTTTGTTCATTAGTTTGTTATTCTCTTGCTTGTTGTGCTAATTAGTCTGCATGCTCAGTCCTTCTATTCTTTTGAGTCAGTGGGTTTCTTGGGTCAGTGGTCAAAGTCTCACGCTTCTGGAATTCGGAACTGATTTCAGCGCAATTACTGAGTTTGCTTTAGTAGTTTYTTCCTTATCTTGGAATTTCTTTAGGTGTTCTTGTGGCCTGTAAATCTGCATTCTTTGTGTCCACTATCAGTGGGCATCCTTCTTCCCAAGCTTTGTTAACCTCACCCAGGTGTGAAATCATTGAAGCATGYCAAGCCCTAAACCTTAAAAAGCAATTTCACCTGCAAGTGATTTGTCTTTTTAACAGCTGGACATATAGTTTGCTAGCTGCTCTCTGTTTTCATGGATTAAATCTCCTTTCCAAGATGTATAAGCTTGAAAGTACACAAAGATCAAACATCAAARAATATCCTTTCTTAAGAAAATTTTACATATTTCACATTTTGCAACACTAATGAGCTGTAAAAACATTGATATCCATTTTGCCTGTTGAAATAACACTTGTCTCTCAGATTTTGAATATTTTAGCTGCAGAAGATCTGAAATGAGACTTCAGCTTTGTTTCACGTATGATTCTGTTGTGTATTCAAGGAAATTCTTTTTGAACCTCAACAGTTTTTGAGAAAGTTTCAAGTTACTGTGTTATCTGGGCTCTTTTAATAGCTTAGCAAAGTTGGATGGCTCAAAAATRTCTCTGGAGTAATGTTGTGAAACAGAGGATTAATCATTGAGTTTGACTTGCTGCCTGGGTCTCTGGAGGTTGRTTGTGGTTGCCACAGGGGTGCAGCTGTCTAAGGATAATAGATCTCTACTGGATTCCAAGTGATTTGGGGGAGCGACACTGTTCCTTTCTGACAACTGTGAGTTTAAATCTGAATCTTCCTGATGTCAGGTATCTTAACTTAGGCATAATTGTTCAAATCATGTACTGATAGTAATGAGTTGCCATATGATGTATTCCCCGAATCTTGCCTTGGTTGAAATGTTGTGTCTAGGTGTGCACAATATGCGTATTTCTTCATTTTGTGACTAKGTGACTCCTAACAGCTTTTCCTTCTTACAAGTAGGTTAAGGACCTTTGCTGCAAAGCCTGGGGAATGTCCTGAAACCATAAAYGCTGGAATTAAAAGTCTGTGTTTGACTCCTACCATAAAACTGAAATCAAATATGTGCATTGAGAGGTAAGTATGTCTTTACTTTAGGAATGAAGGTGGAAGACTCCCTGCGGACTCTAAGCCTTTTGAGTGCCTGCAGTAATTATATTCATACCTTAGAGATTTGTATTTCAARTGTTCTGAGTTGAAAAGATTTGCTTTCCTGGCCTACTTTGTGATTCTGTGTTCACCTTTTAATATTTTCTGGTATGGTTCTCCTTTGCRTCCTTTTCTAAGTTCATAAGAAGTATGTAGGTTTTCCAAGTCACGTGAAGCCTTCAGCAGGTCCTTTGCAAGTCACGGGCAGTGTTGTTCCTTGAGAATAAAAACTGTCATTTTATTACTTCAGTRAAAGCCAATTGGGAATTAAACTTCATATGTTTCTCTTGGTTATGGATTTTTATCAARTGTGTCTTAGTGTATAGAGAGACTGAGAATGTTGGAATGGGATGAGGGGGGGAAGAATAGATAGCTGCTGCAGGTTTGCTGGAAGGTAAATGTTTCTCTTCCCTGTTTGACAGTGAAAGGGTGCTTTCAGTTAAATTGTGAGTTGTTTTCTTTCTGAAAATTAATTACATTGAAAAAGAATCTAAGAACACGTTACCTGAAAAAGTAATTAGTTTTCCTTGTTTTMTACATTTGATAGCTTCCTGTGTAGTGATTTCTCTGTTTTGCATTGGATAGCCATTTCATTACCTTTATGCTGTTAGACTGGTGAATGGTGAGAGAAAAAAAGAAAAAAAAATCCTTTCAGCTTCCTTCAAAGGAGAAAGAATACAGTTGTAAAAATTGCAGTTAAAAATTCTGGATCAAGCATATTATTTCAGTTAATTTGCAGCTTTTTAAGATWTCACTTGTAAATTATCTCTGGAATGAGTACACTAACTGCTTTGGACTTAGAGTGTATGAGTTATTTCACATTATAAGAGTGCAAGTTTTGGCATGCTGCAAATTTTGGCACATTGCCTGTTCATTAATACAACTAGGATTCTGAGTTTAATACAAACATTGMGGTATTGGCATTACCGTGCTACCCTTTAAAGCTCTCTGCTTCTGAAATAGTATTATAAATCACCAAGTGTTGTTAGTAACAGAGTAGTAAAAGGATGAGTGGCACTGCTGGGGCATTGACTTTCACAGCACCTTGTATTTTCAGTGGTGATTTTGATGTGACCGTGCTCAAGAAAATTGGAGTATAAAATGCGAGTATTTTAAACTCCGTGCAGTTGCGAGATTCTTCTCGAATGGTATGAGGTTTCTGTCTTAGTACAAAAATCACATTGGCTCATTTCGAGGGTGTGTTCTGCTTGTCATTCTTAGACTGGTGCCTGCATTTCAGGCAGTTTTCCAGATGCACAGACATTAATGTTTTCATGATACCACTTGGCTCTTGTTTGAAGTTCATATCTTTCTGCTGACATAAATGAACATTCTGCAAGACCCCTGARCACACACAGTGGGAAGATTATGTTGAGGTAGAGCATGATTTCTGTCYTGGTGCATGCTGAGATGTGACTCCACAGTCAAGAGGGAGAGTGAATATATCTGCAGTTTTGCAAACGCGGGTCCTTGTGGAATAAATGCTAAAGTGATGGTACAAACAGTAAGAAACTGAAGCTAAATGAGGTAGTTTCATGTCAAACTGGGTTAAAGTTAACAAAGTTTAATGAAAATACAAACCCTTAACTTTTCATGTAATAGTACTGTGCCACTTGAATAAGTTGTGGGGAATTGTTTTAGGCAAATGGCACATACTGCAGAATCAAAATGGAACCAAAGTTCTGCAGTTCAACTCTTCAGATGATTTTTGAATCCTCTTCAGGTTATTTTGGATTAATCTATTTACAAACTGCTGGTTTTCACGTTTTCTGTTTTTCTCTGGCTTGACATTAAAATTCTCTGCCACTGTAATTTCTGGAGTTTGCAGACAAGTCTAACAGTATTTCTCTTGTTTTCCAGCATGCCGTCAGAAATGCTGCTGGAGATATTTTCCTATTTAGATGCTGTGTCCCTGTTGGCTGTTGGTTGTGTGAATAAGCGCTTCTATGACCTGGCCAATGACAAGTAAGGAAGAGAGAAGGTTTCAGTCATGCCACAGTTGTGTTTAAGTTATGAGTTATGAGTCATTCTAATTTAGTTTCTCTGATGCCAGAGGACTGATGTATGTACCTTTGGGCAATTACTCTGCTGAAATTGCACTGCATAGGCCACAGTACAGGTTGCATGGAATTAGAGCTGTGCAAGTCCTGCTGTTTAATGGCAGTTATGTGGCAGAAACTAAATCCTGTGCTTTGAAATGTTGCTATTAGCATTTTTTTTTGTTTTAACATTTTTGTATATTTGTATTCACATGCATCTGCACACACTTTTCTACTCAGATGATACTTAGTAGTGTGTTGCCAGTAGCTTTATGGAATTGTCATAACTTTCATAATGTTGACATCCTACTTAATTCTTTCATCAAGATTTTGCAGCGGGATTAATTGAATAAAATAATTCACTAGTGATTTTTATCTGTTACTCTGTTTGTCAAGTTTTGGTGATTTCTAAATTAAAACAAAAGAGAAGATCAATACTGACACTTTTTTAAATAAGGATTGCGTATACAGAGTTCACAAATTGCTCCTACCAATATCATGATAATTTTGTGACAGGATAAAGAGGAGAGACTCAAGCTGGTATGTAGTAAGTAGGATGTCTGGGCATCCTTTTTTTTTTTTTTTTTTTTTTTTTTTTTTTTTTTTTTTTTTTTTTTTTTTTTAGAATTCTACTGCATTAGTATTGTTTGAATGAGAAGATGTCTTCCTGTATAGGAATTTGCTGCATCTGGTATGAATCCATTTTCCCTTATTTGCTAAAACTTGTATAGTGAATTGGTTTACATTGGCATTGAAATCTTTAGAACTGATGAATTTAAAGGGAAGACTGTAGCAGGTAAGTGTAGATAAAAATTGCATAGTTGTCACAAATTATCTATCTTAGTATGTATTTTCCACTTCAGGGTGGTGAGGCAGGATAAAGTCACTGTGGCTGTTCAGGACAAGATGAGTTCATCTGCCTCCATTTTGACGATGTCTATTTCCATTTTTTCATCTTAACAGAGATTAGTGTATGTGCACAAATGGGACTTAGGGAAGAGATATTTTCCCTTATCTAGAAGCCTGACTGGTTCAGTGGGACCAGGTTATTTCTTCCTGATGGATTCCCATGGACTTTCTCAAGACCCTGAATTTTGCTGCAAATGAGCAGAAATTTTAATTGAAGTCCCTGCATATTTGTGTGATGAATATGACCTTGCTTTTTAGGGAAAATATCTATTTTAGGATATTTCTGCTGTCCTGGATGTACAGGGTGTCCCTGATGCAGCTGGACCATAAGTCTTTCATTGTGATATGTCTGTGCTGCTTAATGCAGTGATTTGTCTTTGGGCTGTTCAAATAATGTCTGCACTTGAATGGTTCCTTGGCACTGATGTCTCCARTAGAATTATTGAATACAAGGAAATGTTTGACCCCCCACTTCTGCACCCTCCTTGCCCCAGTATGGGATATGCCAGCCTTCCCATCATGCAGTGTGGGAAGTTCACATGTATGGTCTGCCTGTGAGAGCATGATGATTCTGATCACCAGCAAAATGTGCTTGTGTAAGAGGAAATGAGAGCACAGGTCTTTTTGCCTTTGTGGTCAGGTGATGACTGATGACAATGTGTATCTGATTCTGGCATTTGAGTTAGCAGTAAAAGGTTTGTTTGGCTTGTTGTAGTAATGTCCAATGAGAGGCCTTGGGTATTAACAATTTGAGACAAGCAGGGTATATATTCTGCTGTGAAAAATGCAGACTTGTGCTTCCCTGTTGGATACCTTTTTGATTTATCTTCCCTGAATTCTTCAAAAGGTGAAGGGGCAGCTTCCTGAACACTTGTGATTCCAAGTCCTGCTTCATTTTCACCTCTGTCTCCCTGCTCTGAGTTTTTGACCTTAAACTAATGTCTTTTATTGCACAGCACTGTTTTAGGAAAGGAAGAAGCAATACRTAACTGAGAGTGAGGACAATGATGGTAGCTATTTGTGGCTAGTCTGCCTTCAGTCAGCTAAATTGCCTGAGTCYGTAACTTAAAAATGCAGGAAATGCCTACTACTAAGCTCTGTCTTTTCAGCRTTATACAGTAAGATGTGGAGTATCTTCATGAAAGAAAGGATGTTTCTCTTGGGAAGGGATTTCTAGTTAACAGGAGACTTTTACAGGAGGCTACTTTACTGGACTTTTTAGGCTAATTAGGACCAGTTGGATGATAGCTCAATTTCACCTGATGGTGGTATGCCAAGGACATCTCTCCTTTGTTTTCATCACTGTACAATTCTAAACTGCTTTGGAGTTAAAAAAAGAATTTCTCCTTTCTCTCAGAAATGTTTTATACTGTCTGATAACTTGGTTGCCTTTTCTGGTCTTAAAAGAGAAATACCATAAGTCTTTGTTGTACTTACAGGATTGTTCTTCATGTTACCTTCCCCACCCTGCTTTTGGTGAAATGAAAGTTGGAAGCTCATGTTGATTGTGAACCCACCTTTAACAGTCAGAGTAGTTTGTTGGTCTGTGTGGTTTTTTGCCACTTCTGTCTCAAAAAATGGCAGTGGGGGATTCTGCATATATCTGCAGAGCAGCAGGCTGGAAGATTTTTGCAAAATTCCTTGATATGTTTACATCAATAACCAGAACCTCGCTCTCAGCATTTGGGGACTTATTCTCAGCAGCTGATGAATTGAGAATGGTTTTGATGGGTAGGAGGCAGTGTGGGATGGATTTTGTCCTTGAATGCCTTAAGCAGAGGGTAAAATGCATTGCAAGACATGCCAGTGTAAGTTTGTCTGGGGATGAGTGAGGACTGGTAAAGGTAATCTCCCTCATAAATGGTAGAAAATGTCTCTCTTAAGAATTTGTTGCTCTTGCAATTAATTTTCTTTAGTGCAGTTATGTAGACTGTGTGTCTAACACTTTAAAATTAGAAAACTTATTGGAAATCTATATTCACAGATTATTGTTGGAATTCTTGTCGGTGCCTGTATTCAATATTCTGTGAACTGTCGTAGTGATGTGGGTGTGGGGGGCTGAAATGTGTCGTAGTTGTCTTGGCATGAGGGAGATGACCCCATCATTACTGTCACATTTCTTTATCTTCAGAAAGTCATGTCTTCTCTGAGCCTTTCCAAAGAGAGTGCAGAAGGGATTTACGTGACACTGGTAACATTCAACAAAATTACTCTAATTGTCCTCCTCCACCCCACTTTCAGTTGAATCTCTGTGAGAAAATTGAGTCTTACAGATTATCTTGTTGAATAAGAGGTGTTAAAACACTTTTTCCACCAGCTGATTTTCTGTGATGAGGATGCAGCATTGATTTCGGTGAAATTTTTACCTTATCTTAACCTTTATCAGTTTTCACTTACGTTGCTGAGCTTCATCCTGCATCCTGTATCTTCAGGAAGACAGATGAGACTGTTTACTCAGTGGTAGCTGAGATGTGCGTATAAAAAAACAGGTGACTWTTCTTGAAATTTATTCCTCTTTATTCTATTTTTATTTTCAGCGGAATTTGGCTGAAACTCTATTCCAGTTCTTTGCAACCAAAATGGACAATTTGGAAAATGTCATCTAAACAAACAGAAACTGTTTCTTTGGGCTGTGCTGCTCTACATGATGAAAAGCCTGGATACTGGAAGAAAGAATACATCTTCAAACAAACATCTGTCTTCAAATCTAGAATAATGCGGCTTGTTAAACTTCTAGATCCTTATACAGGTCTTCCATGTAAAAACAAAGAAGCCATGAAGTAAGCAATGCTTTGTCACAATGAGATTTACTTGAGAACAGTGTACAAAATATTAATGTTTTGGGGACTATAGAAACAGAGCTATAAAAAGTATATTRTAATGGGAAGATACAATGACAATTTATAAATGACTGAAATGGAGGAACATAACTAGCAGTAGAAATTAGAAAATTCTATTGAAAGCAGAGTTTAAATTTTGTCGCTTTGGTTATTTTTTTTTAAACACCCCTCTCCCCTCTCAATTCCTAAATAACAGAGTCTCTGGCTTGAGTTGGATAATTGTTCTAAAGGACAGAAATGGAAAAGAGCATATAATTGAGAAGCCAAACCTATCATTTAAGGACACATCTGTTACCATACTTTGGTATGGTGCRGTCTGGCCGTGCTTAGACATCCTGTCAACCCTAAAACTATTTGGAGTTACACCGTTGCTTCCTGACCAAAGCAGACCTCCCAGCAAGAATAGGTGAGTTTTAAGATAGAATTTTTGAGGACTTTTTGTGTGTAACTGATTGTTAATGTGTTTTTAGGAGCTATCTGATGTTTGTTTGACTCAACAAGTTAACTCTTTGTTGGAAAGTTCTTCCTGTGTTCTTCTCTTCTTTGGTAGAGCTCTTTAGCAAGAAATAATATAATACAACAAGCTATGGCATTAATTCATAGGTTAATCAATTCATAGCTACTAGCATGTGATATGCAGACTGATAGGTCCTGCCTTGGAATGCTGAATTGGAGACATAGACCTAAAATGAGCATGAAAGAAACTTGTAAATCTAGGAGAATTTAATGTGAAAACTTAGCTTGGAGAAGTTCAGCAGTATTTATGTGGCTACAGTCAGGTAACTGATGTTGCTAATATTTATTTTCTCTCTGATAGGTGTGTATATGAATTTAGGGAACTTGGTGTGTAACTTTGTGTGCARTCTTACGTATGTGCATGTAGAAACACTCTTCCACAGCATGTCTGTTGTTTTTAACTTAAATGTGTACAATGTTTTTTCTCATTATATTCTGAGAAGATATTTAAATGAAAAGTGTCTATTTGAGGTATTTGGTTGCTGTCAAAGAGTTTTGCTCACATCTGGGTCTATGTGTATAGTCAGCTACATGCTTTTAACTCAAAGCCCCTAGCTCTAAAAAGAGAGAATTGTTCACTCRCAAAACACCAGGTTCCTCAAGCAGAAGTTAAGTATTTACTTAAAATAGAAATAGAAATAAATCAAGAGAAGCCTTTTGTATAAAGTCAGCTGAACAAGTCTTGCAGTCAAAGTATGTGGGAAATGTAGTTGTTTTACCAAGATGACAATTCATATGTAGAAAATAAAAAAGCTTGCAGGCATTTGGTGTATTTATTTCACAGAAGGGTAAGGTTTTAGAGATTGTGAATATAGATGAATGTAGTAGTTTCACCAATTTCAGAATGTCAGTCTTGAAACCTTGAGGCAATAGTGCAGGGACAAGCCTGATTGACTTAAAGATGGAAAGGGTTGATGTTGATTATAAAGAGATTTTTCACTGTGGGGGTGGTGAGACACTGGAACAGGTCTGCAGAGGTTGTGGATGCCCCATCCCTGGCAGTGTTCAGTGTAGTAGTAGGTGAAAACCATAGTGATACTGTTGGGAAATCTGGGAACTGTTTTGAAAGTCTGAAAAAGGTTTTAGGATGACTTCTCTCTTCATTCTGAATAGGTAATGCAAACCCTTTCTGCTCTTTTTTTAAATGCATCATGAGTTAATAGGAATGTCCATGAAATTTTTAAGAGAGTTTTGGAGCTAAATGGCTTTAATTATAGGCAAAATGTAGAAAAAAAATCTAAAAAAGGAAAGCTTTCTCTGAACAAATTAAAAGACTTTGTTAAAGTGCAATTTGAGCCTTTCCTTGGAATTTTGCTTTTGTGGAAGAAAAAGTTACCATAGTAGCTTGCTTCACCCTGATAAATGTTCAGTGATTCCATCTAGTACCAATAAAGTATCAGAAACAAATTATAAAGTAATTCCTTTGAAAAATTAGGCAAGCGCRGAAGTTCTTTTTTCTAAGAGCGTTTTAGAAGATTACATAGTGATTTTTGTTTATTTTCTTACTAGAGATTATACTACTGCTGGTACACTGTAGTTGTTTGAATGTATAGTTTATGGCTCTGCATGCCAAATGCTTTTGAAACCATTCTTATCCTGTGCTGCTGGTCAGACTTAAGCTGGTCAGTTAAGAATGAAATTAGGCTGAACTTTTATATATGGAGAATAAGGAGACAGCCTTTTTGGTACATTCTGTATGTTCTTTCCAAAGACCTCGTCGATTTTCCTTGATTGCTGAATACCATCTTGCTAACCTGACTGAAAGTAGTGTAACAGTTGGTGCTGATGAGCTTGTCCAGCTCTTCAGTCTGAATCCAGGACTCTTAGTAGGAATTTGGAAGGTAAGGTAACATTTTGTTTCAGTATTAAGACTTGAAGGAGCAGATTTTTTTTGCCTTATAGTTTGGGATTTGAGGAGGTTTTTTTTTAATTTTTCTTTGGATTTTGAAAGATCTTTTCTAAACTAGTWACAACAAAGTGCATGTAGGGACAGCTAGCAGATGATTTCTTGTATTCTAAAAGCTGTCACAGGAGTATATATACTTTTTAAAAAGTTCACTTCTAATTCAGAGATCACTTATGTAAGATACTGTATTAGATACTGCATTCAGTTTTATTTGTTTTGCAGTCTTAACATGTCCAAGTTTGATAATCTAGAATAATTTTAAGYAGAATGGTTTGAGGACAGATGTGCTTCTTCCTCTGATTTGTGCAATGCCCTGTCCACATCACTCAAGTGATGAGCTCCCCCATAGCAACTTAGCTTTAATCTACATCACCAGCTAGCTGTGTTCCTGCTCCAGCAGTAGGAATGCTTTAAATTGTGCTCTTTTGGGGGTATTACATTCTTGGTATTAAGAGTATAAGTTGAGCATTTAGCCTCTGTAGGGTGGTTATAGAGATGAATGTCTTTAGAGGACATTGCAGAACATGTGAAGTAGACTTTTATGCAAAAGGAAAGGGAATCTTTGCGCAGAATGCACTGGGACCTCAGTGTCTGCCTGTTGCTACATAGGGCTGGGTGCTATGGAGCCTATCTCAGCTGTTCTGCTCTTGGTCTGAATTCAGAGGTGGCAACTCTTTCTTCCTCCCCTCAGCCAYGTTATTGATGTAGGTTTAACCTATTTGGCCATGACAAGGAACATTCCTCTGGGAGCCTATAAACAGTTCCTCAAAGTTGTGTCTAATTTCCAGCTGCAAACATGCTGCCTCAAATATACACAATTACCAGAGGCAATGTTTAAAACCACAGAAGGACTATTTCTTTCACTCTTACTTAAAGGTAAGACTGAAAAGTCCATTTCCTAGAAAAGTTGAGACTGGYTGATCTGCATAAGACTATTACATGTTGTCTCTGTCTGTGAAAAGCTCTGATAAATCAACATTTCTCTTGTATCTTCAGAAGTTTAGTAGGCTGGTGTCCCTGTGTTGTTGGCTCTATAGTTTTGCACATGTATTGGCCCCTCCTGTGCTTGGAAAGAGAACTCTTTCAGCCCGTGGAAATGGTTCAATCATAACTAAGTTCCACATAGTTGTTAAGAATTGAGTGCCTCACTCTAGAATATTTTCCGTACTTGCTTTTCTGAACAGCAGTTCTTATTCTCTGTGTAGGCAGAATAATACTAGGTAGTTAACTGTCAGTGGGTGTAATAATTGTAAATGCCACATAGCTTGTTTTTTTGCACATAGCTGCATAACAGAAGCCAAGGACAGGTTACGTGGGCCTCCTGGTATTTGGACAGAGACAGACTTAGAAACTGTGTGATTGATAAATCTCCCTTGTTTTATCTTTTATAGCTGTAATTATGCACCATAAAAATACAGAAGTAGTTAAGAAGCAAAAAGTTTGAATAGAGGATGTAATTTTCTTGTAACCCAGAAAGATGAAAACAGTACTTGCCCACATTTCAGGAGAGAAATAGACTTCTGGCAGTGAATAATTTTCCTRTTGACTTACGCGTTTATAAATGTAGGCACTTACAAATACATTTAGAGGAAAAAAGCTGACATCCTAGCACTGTGTGTTCTTGAAGTAAATACAAAGCTCTGTCTCTATTTAGTTTTCACATTAATGTTTTCTTTGACTATATAGTCATCTACAGGAGATTATGTTCTTAATGTTTTCCCAGGAGTACTTAATCTGGTGAAGACATCCAAGGTTTACTTTGAAATTCACTATTTCTATTGAGTAATTCTGTATCCCTCACTGACATTAGCCCCCTTTGCAAATAGTTCCTTACATATGAAAATGAACTTGATGCTTCAGTAAGTGCTATTTGATTCTGTTTAGGTATCTATTTTATAGTGATAAGTAGAAGCTAGGGAAGTACAATTTTGGATTGCTCTTATAGCTTTTGCCCTGGCATAGCTAGTTTCCTATTCTTTCTCCATAATGTAGAAATGCTGTAATCTTTTGTATATATTCTAAACTCTTGTGAAAAGACAGTAAAGGTTTTAGGAGTCCCACTGTTAGAGCAAGCCATTGCTAGCCCTATTACAGAAATTGGCACAGTAATAAGCAGCAGCATTTATCTATGAATTTTAATGCTCTGAAAGACCCTATGAAAAAAAGAATTTCCACATGAAAATACATCTACTTTAATTAACTTTTCAGGAGAAAAATGAAATTGCTTTTGTTATGGCGAGTCTTCATTATAATCAACTCCTTGAGAGAAGCATTTTGGGTTCTGCTACTGTGTAAGTTTGGTTTTCCTTTGAGTGATAAAGATAACCTTTTGAATAAAGCTTTGAGTTTTATAGTTAAAATTGGCTGCTGGTAACAGGTTTATATTTAGGTAGTAATTAACTATCCATGTTTAATATAAACAACAGYTACAGTAACAACATACAAAACTGTAGAAACATTTTCATACTAARATACTGCCATTGTTATGCTATTAAGGAGATAATTTAGTTATACAAGTGTACTGATAACTTGCTGTGTTGAGAAAGTTAGAACTGCCCATGCTTTCTTCCTTTTCACAAATAGACTTTATTTCCTCTTCCTGTGTGAAACAGAGAAAGAAAAGAGACACATTTCAGAAAGTATGGAAATAATCTTTGGCTGTGTAAGGGGGGAAAATTCTGATGGGGTGCCTGCATTTATTTTTCATTCCCATTGAGAAACTAACTGTATTTGCTATAAAGTGTTTGTATATGTGCATATTGCAGCATATTATATATATATATATATATATATAAAATATCATATATAATATAAATATATAATATATAAAAGAGCATATATTATATATATATAATATATTTGATACCTATTTATATGCTGCAAACTGTTTAAAAGGATTCTAGCTGTAGAATATTACTTAGCGTATTTATTTCCCCCTCTGCTTTCTGGTCAGATACTATTGTATCCACCAGTAGTCTTGAATGCCCATTAGAACTAAATGTGGCTCTTCTCACACAGAAGATACGATTTAACACCATCTCCCTTAGTACCAAATTGGATCCTACGTAGAAGCTGCTCAGTTGCCTCTGGCATTTGTTCTCTTCATGTCATTTGTATGTGGTAGCTCAATTAGTTAGGCACAAAGAAAGTTATTCCAAGAATTGCTATTTCAGAGAAGTTTCTAGCTAATGGACTTTTAGATTTGTAGTTAAGCTGATGCTACAATTGTCTACAATTTGTAGACAATTCCATGTTTTGAAGTTTTAGCAGTTGTACTTTGTAGTTAAGCTGATGCTACAATTGTCTACAATTTGTAGACAATTCCATGTTTTGAAGTTTTAACAGTTGTACCTTTTAAAGTTGACTGCCATATTTTCTGTCTTTGGCTAGAAAGAAACATGATGAGCTAGAGATACTTGATTTCTGAACTCTCTCAAGATCAGTCTTAGTATCATGCTATGTATTAGATCTCCTTCCATTAAGCCATCCCTTGTTGCTAAATTCTATTTTTTTTTTTCAAGTCAATATGCCCCTCCAGCTAATAAACCTTTACTGGATGATATTGACCCAGAATATGGACTGCATGATTACAGTCTGCATCTAGATCTGCATGGCAGAAGCTGCAGGTACCTGTGTGGAACATTCAAGGGCCTCTTCTGCAGAAAAGGTAAAGTTGAAGAAACAATAATGCCTGTATTAAAAACGATCTCTGCTTACGTTTTTCCTTCTTATACCCAGTATCTCTATTTTAAGGGGAGAAATGGAAATGGAATTTTAAGAGTAAGTGATCTTTTTTTTTTATGTTATGGCTTCTTTGTGTCTGGATGGTGCTTTGTGGGGCATCCTAAGCCTGCTCCGTAGGAAGTCTGCCCACTGTTACATTGACAGTGGCATGCCTAGGACGCAAATTCTGCAGATTGTCAGGGTCTTTTCTTTTGCTTGAATTCTGCATTAATAATGCAGTGGCACAGCTTTTGGTGCAGGTTGCTGTTTCTTCTACTTGTATTTTATAAAGGAGAGACGGTTTGTCCTCATGTTTTTGAGGCTTGTTTCTGTARAATTCTCCTCAGGTATACCTTGGGTGCACTGACAAATTAAATATATTTGTAGAAGTTACTGTGATCTTTAAGATTTATAGTTTTTATTTCGGTGAGCTTTAGGTTACCTGTTCTGGCATCCTTTCATTGTGTAGTAAACAATTTCATTGTTTTTAACTGCTACTTCATTCTGTTTTCAGCACTTCTTTTCATGAGACATGATTGACCATCCTTGTCATTCTTGTACAGCCCAAATACATAATTGTGCTGAGGTTTTGCAAAATATGGGTGATCTCTCTTTTGACATAACTTCCTACAGCTACACAGCTGTCTCTCTGTAAGTAGAGACAGATTAAAATATTAAAATTAATTTAAAATTAAATTAATTAAAGTGTTTAAGTACTATAAATTAATTATTGCTCCTCAGTATTTTTTTTCAATACCGGCACTGCTGAACGTTCTGTGGATTTCAGAAAATAATGGTTTTTAGTCAGTAGAGGGCGCTGTTGTCAGGCGTGARTGCTTTTACGGGGCTACAGAATTTCCCCTTGATTTGGTTTGGTTTTTTTCATTTGTATTTAGTGATTCCAAGAACTGTCGTTTATACTGCAGCCTTGTGCAGTGTGGCGTATTGTAGTCCTTGAACCTGAAATAAGCATGTTTTCCGATTCTGGGAAAGCTCTGAGCTTGAAGGAATGGAATACTTCCATGGCTAAAACTTCAGTGAAAGTCTGTGCGTGTAGTGAGAAATCTTACCTGAAGTACTGTGTTATACACAAGTCCTCTTTATGTTGACAAAACAACCCATCMTCTCAAAATAGGGCAGAGRGTCAGGCTTTTTGGYTTGTGCTGGGTTTTGGTTTTTCTTGTTTACCTGAATGTCACATTTTGTGTTCCAAAATTAAAATGTTATGCTCCTAGCAATACAGTTSCACAAGAAAAAGTATTATGTGGTAAACTTATTTTCTTGGTATCACTTTTTTGTGGCTTAGAAGCTACTTCCACAAAAGATTAGGCTGATGTTTATGCAAGTTACAGCAAAAGTCCATRAGCTACAGTTGTGATGCCATCTCATTTTACAAATTACAGAATCTGTTTTATCATGCAATGGTTTTGTGAATGGCTTTGGTGTTGTGACCTTCAGCAGTATGACAGCCACCAGATTCTGGTCGCATAGGACATCAGACAGCAGAAGCCATGGTTCTGCAGACAATAAACTCATTTGTCATTTAGTCCCCTTCTGTGTGCACAGTAATTCCTTTTGGAAAATGCTTGACTTCTTTCAGAAAGTGTAGTGAGGCAGCTTATGGCTCTTTGCTGTCACATTTTTCATTGTAATTTGGTGTTCATTTTGCTCTTTCTGGTAAACAYGGTGTTGCTGAATGTGGCCAGGTTTGCTAAGCTGGTTTGATGTTTTGATGGTTTGTGCTTTGTTTTTAGGCACCATTCTAATAAYACTCTTTGTCTCGTCCTCTGGAAGGACTCTGAAACATGGAGGTCACAATACTGAGAAATCTCACTATTTCTCAAAATGCTCTACCCAATCCAGTTTTATTTTAAATTATGAATGTAATATCCCCATTTTGGTTTCCACAACTTGGGACATAGAGCAGTTRTCAGCTGTTATACTGTTGTTTTACTTATTTATTGGTTTTTGTTAGGAAGCTTTAGATATTCCTAGRTTACCAGAGAATGCCCATTTGTATTCTGCAGAATAAATGATTTATTTGTTCAAGATTTAATTTCTGTCTGCTTTTTATTAGTGTCAATATTGTGCTTAATTTTGCTACTCTATTTTCAATTCTTTTTGCAGAATTTTTAATATTGAATTAATAAAGGTTATATCACACTTGATTAAACCAAGCAGATGGAGTGTAAACGGCTTCAGATTTTTTTTCTGGTATTAAAACTTGCATTGTAGTAACTAGCTGTTTTGTCTCTTTTTTGATTGGGTTTTAGCRTTTGATTCTATACTCCCTTTCATGTAAACAGAATTGGTAATGTGGCCTTATTGACATACTGCARGGTGAATATGCTAAATTCCGTGTAACTGAAATGAAAATATTTAGAAAATTTTTCCTCGTCTTCAGGAAGATATGACAGGCTTTTCATACAACTCACAGGAGCCACGGATCTAGCTTCTTAATAAACATTATTGAAATATATTTATCTATGTTTTCACCTTTTTAAGCACAGCTTTGTAGCCACATGGTAGTTTAAGCTTTGGCTTTTCAATGTAATTTCTTGTTGATGTAAATTGATGAGTTGCGCTTGCAAAATTTAAGGAGTGATTTTTCTGTGTTTAGAGAGCTTTGAAGATTTGTTTGTAAAATTTCATATCAGGCATTTGAAATGTTTTGCTTGACCTTGAAGATTGATTTGTAAGTTGAAGTAACCATTTCAGCATGGTAAGGCTGGTTCTTAGCACCACTTTGTGTTAAGCACAGCTTTTCTTCTGAAAATACCAATCAAATTGCAGCTTGCAACAAAGGCCTAGTTAACAAAACAAGCTTCTTGGCTTTTAGCTAAAATAAGTGCTTTGGAACTATTGGTCTATGTTTCTTTCCCCTGAGGTTTGTCTGCAGGGTATATGGTTGTCTGCATGGTTCTCTTTAAGGGTATTACCTTTGTTTGCTAAATATTTGGAAATATTTCAGTTACAGTTCCCTGTAACTTACTCTGCTGCTTGGCTGCCATATGTGTAAAACCCAGGGCTAGAGGTAATGAAACAAAGTTTGTATCAGGCTGAAGAAAGCCCTATCCAATTTGCTTTCTCTGTGTCTTGTTATGTTTAATGTAGCTTGTTCTGCCCTTTAATTTCATTTTCTCATCTGACTAGGGTGAGGAAGGGGAGATTTCAATACTTGGCCTTCAGGTTCTTGCCCATTTTTAGACAGACTTTTCCTTTCTTCTGGATGTGAGGACTGCAATGRAGCTTTTATATTAAAAAAGAAAAAAAGGCTGGGTTAACTAACCCATGAATAATTAGCCTGCAGATTCCTGATCTGTTGCCTATTTCTGTTCTGGCTAAAATTAAGAAGTAACTGCAACACACCTCAGCCAGCTGATCTATCTAGTAATGTGGTATTAAAACCATGCAATGTTAGTGATGTCCTGGGCTTCATTAATCTATTAGCAGTATTTTTTAGTCTATTTTTATTCCTTTCAAACTTTATTTGGTTTGAATGAATAAGAGAAATAGCCCCTTCCATTCAGATTGGAATTGTGGATAACTGAATAGTCCTTTGGAAAAAATGCTTGTTGACYAATTTCAAGTCTCCTGTTTCACGTCAGCCTATTTTCAAGTCTCTTGTATAAAAGCTCAACTTTAAATATTGGCTTTCAGTGCTTAGCCAGTAAACTGTTTAGCTAAGATACTTGTACTTTGAATGAAATCTTGTCATTGAATTTGAGTTACTGAGGTCTGGAACTGAACCATTTGGCAGATGTCAGTTTAATGGCCTTTCTCTACTTCAAGCTGAATCGTGGAAGTGAATTCTGCTTACATTTTCCTYACTGGGTTCTTTTTGGGATTCACTGTGAGGACAGAGGGTATTGCAGTCTGGAGCATTTAATTTTCCTTCAACAATACACAGTATTTCCTATTGAATACTTCCTGGGTATAGTTATATTGGTTTCACTGTATTCACACTCCTATTCCAGACAGTGCATTGGAAAACCTGCAGCTGCTATCCTCTGTCATGTGCTGGGCTGCTTCCTCCCCAGAGTAAGTATTCTTTGTATTCTGTGCTGGTGAGTGATGGCTTTTCAGCACTGGTTTGTGGCCAGCCATATCTTGGGAGTTGCTTGACTCTACAGTACCAATTCAGAGAAGTTTTTGGCTTTTGTGGTAAAGTGTGGGCCTTCTTTCTCCATCACTGCCTCCAGCTATCAGCCTTCAGCAACCACCAGGCAGAGGTTTTGCTGCTACTGCACACGGGCTGCAGCCACTTAGCTCACAGCCAGCCTTTCTGACATTGCTTTTTCTGTCTGCAGTCTCATGCTGCTACTTGGGCTTGATTGAAAGAATCACAGACAAAAGACTTCTCTCTTCTTTAATTTCTGTCACTTGCATCTTAAGCCTCTACAAGCCCTGTCACTTATTACCTTACCATCCAGGGCCTGTTACTGAATCCTGACAAGCATTATGTTCCTGAGAATTCCTTCTCTCCCTTCCTGTCTGTCTCCTGCAAATGTTAGTTTCTTAATTTTTTGGATTGAGGCCTCTAGTATTTTTGTTTTAGTCTTTTAAAACGGTATCTCTTGTTCAAGGAAACKTTTTTAAGGAAGAGCTACTAAGAAATCTGCTTGTGTCATGATGTGATGCTTCCATTTTCACTTTTCTTTGTAGTCCAAAATCATGTTCTCTGTGGTGTACCCCAGGTTGTGATTGGTCTGTTGGACTCTATAGTTAATTTTCCTTCTCTGACAATGAGGGRAAAAAGAACAATTGAAAAAAAAGTCTGTCTCTTCTCAGAGAAGAGGAAGAGATACCAAAGAAATAAGGTTGTATGTAGCAATAAAAAAAAAATCACAAATCATAATAATTCTGTTAAAAAATAAAAGGGAGCCCTTGAAAAACTATTTAAAAAAAAAGAAGAAATCTATAACTTAAAAACATGATTCAACATAAAGTGTACTGCATGTCAGTTTAAATGATGTAGTATTCTTTCCAAGGAGTAATAGTTATTTGTGTACACTTTGTCTTGGGTTATTTGAGTTTCCAGTCAGAGCTGAGAGATTTAAATAATTTGAAAAAAAAGGCTGGGGGAGGTATCTCATAATTTATTTTGTGTGTTAGTGTTGAGCTTGACTTTTGATGAGTGGGCAGTGATGGAGGCACTGGTGGCATGAAATTGAAACATTGAATGTGGAATTTACTCCTTGCATCCTTGTGTAAGTTATTTAGGTGGCATTTCTATTTTTATACTAAAAAATACAAAATAATTTTTAGCTGCTGTTTCTACTGTGGATCACAGAACCAAAGCCCCAAGGTGCAACTTAATTTCTCTATGGTGTGCTTGGTATGTAGCTCTTGGTGCATGTCAGGGTTTCTTATTGGTGAGTGGGAGAAAAAAGACATGGAGAGAAGGTAAGAGRACATTTACAGTGTACTTGGGCTGGATTTGATTTATATTGCTATAATGTTGCATATTGCTTATATTTCAGGTGACATTGAAAATGGATACCTGAGGCTCACAGTTGTAAGCTTAAAGGATAATAGGAAGCACTTGCCTATTATTGGGACACTTGGCATATGCTGGGAAACAGATGTGTTTAAAGGCAGTGTAAAGGTCAGATATATTTTTTGTTTCTGGAAATGCGTGTTTCAGAACAGTATTATGTTTTTGCATCCTAAATTTCAAAATTTCAAAACAATTTTTTGGTTTATAGAAGGCGTCTGTAACTAGACAAAAACCTCTATTCCAATATTWAAAAAAAAATGCGAATTTTGAGGGGAAAAAAGTTTTTTGCCTCATAGAATCTGAATTGCATGATGCACCCATTATGCATGTGTGATTACTGCAGTGCCTTCCACTTACCAAAATGCTGTGACTAACCAACTTTGCTTTTAAATGCTGGACAAAGAAAAACCTGCAGGTGTACTTTCTGTGAGGTTTGGTTTTTTTTTTGTTTTTTTTTTTGGTTTTTTTTGCAAGCAATAAGCCTTGAACCCCT